TCAGTCACAAGCTCTCAGCCTAATATACCTCACAGGGGTTTGTGAGGATAAAATGGTGGAGAAGAGAACAATGTAAGCTGCTTTGGATCTGCACTGGGGAGAAAGGTAGAGAATTTGGGGGCCCTTCCAGTTGGAGAACAGGACAGTTGTCCTTTGCCTTGTTCCTTAATAATCAATATAGTTTGTATTGCAGCCTTCTCTCTGATAGTTTTCTACAGCAGACATGGCATGCAGTTAGACCATAGAAGTACCAGTTGTAGAAATATTCCTGAGGTTGTGTTGTTGCCAATTCAAAGCCATTTTTAGAATTTCAAAATGGAACTTTTCTACTTCCTTTCTGCTACAGCCTCATAGGCCCAAAAACAATTTCTGAGGACCGTGGTGACTGTTGGAAATACCACTGATATCATGTGAAGGGCTATGAATGTAAGAATTGTGGGAGGTGATATCTCCTAACTGCAACTTTCTTCTGCTTGACCTGGCACACTGTAGGAATCCAGGCCTTACTGTTCAGTTATGGCTCTGTTATCTTAGTGATGAGTCCTGCTGTTAATTTCAAAGTCTAAATTCTATCATTGGCTCATGCCATCCCCTGACTAGGACAGGGATAAGGGCAGTCTGTTACTGCTGATACTGTTAGACCTATCAGCAGCACTTGATAATGGTTGACTACAATGTTCTGGTGGATCAGCTACAATTAAGGTTTGGGATTAAGGGGACATCCTTCTGTCGGTCACATTCTTGTTGACTGGAAAGGTTCCATAGGTGAGGCGAAATCAGTGAGTTGGGACCTCACATGTGGGATGCCACAAGGGTTTGTTTGTTCCCAGTGCTCTTTCTCCCCCCCCCATATGTGCATGTCTGTGTGAGTGTGTGTGTGCACCTGGAAGTCATGGCGACCTCTGGGGAGTGACCCCTACTGGAGGCCTGGAGGATATTCAGAGAGGTGGCTGAATAAAACCTGCCCGAACCTCCTGACTGCTGACATTTCAAGAAGGTCTCCCATCTGAGTACTTGCCAGAGTCAACCCTGCTTAGCTTCTGAGATCTGATGATATCAGGCTTGCCTGGGCTATCCAGGTTAGGGCATTCCCAGTGCTCTTGAACCTTATGTAAGAAAATTGGCTGGGAGCTTTGGAGTGGATTGTCATCAATACATGCACAATACCCTTTTTTTCTGTTTCATTATTTAAGCCTCTAAAAGCACCTTTGATAGTCCTGGGCCAGTAACTTGAGGCTGTGGTCAAGCAGTTGAGGGTGAACAAACTGAATGCAGACAAGAGGAAGGCGTTGATGCTTGGGAAAGTGGAGTGTTTGGCTGGTGTTGGTCTACCAGACGTAAGGAATGTCAGCACTCTTTACTAGATACTAGTTAAAAACTTGTGAGTGCTCTGGAACCCAGCCTTATTGATGGAGAAATCGGTAGGATTGCCAACAGGCCTGGAGAAAAATGCCCTGACTCATAAGAGGCTTAATGGGCTTTTATTTATCTCCATGCTGTGAAAAGCTTCAGTTGCCCATTTGCACTCAGTAAGCTTCTGTTAAAGGGGCAGGATATTTTTCTCAAACCTGTTGGCAACCCTTGAAAAATAGAGTGGTGCTGTTGCTATGAGCATCTTCTTCTGATTACATTAGCTCATAAACTGGTCCCACTGACCCATGCTACTGTCACCTTCCAGACCGGACTAATGTAATGTGCTCTATGTGAGGCTGCCTTTGAAGATTGATTGGAAGCTTCTGTTGGTACAAAATGCAGTGGGAAGACTCCTATCTGGGGTCAGCCACTTGGAATACATAATCCCAGTGCCACATCAATTACACTGGTTATTTATTTGCTCCTGAGTATGGACTCGGGTTATTATCTTTAAATCACTTTAGGGCTTGGGGCTGTCACACTTATGAAACCATGGTCCTCCAGTTATACCCATGCTGCAGTCATGCTCTTCAGCCAGTTTTTTTTCTGGTGGCACCTTCTGCTAGGATTATTCCTGTAGCAATAGTTTCAGTCTCTCATTTTTCTGTGGTAGGTCCATTCCTCTGGAATGGGAACTACCCAAGTGGAGGTGAAGTGAACGCCTTTGCTCATTGCATTTAGGAAAGTTTGTGCTGATTTACTTCAAAGTGTCAATTGATTTGGCTGCATTTTTTGAACACTGTTGATTTTGTTGCTGTTTTGGTGACCCTTCAGCTTTAGTTGCTTTGTTAGCTGCTTTGAGTCTAAGAAGACAAGGTGGGATATAAACACTTTAAATAAAAATTACACAGGTCTTCTCCATTTACAACACATTTACTATTTCTTATGACCTTCAGTATTTTTCCCCCATCACATACTGCTTTAAGAAGATGCTTACACCCTAAAAGCGTTGAAATCTGTTTTGAGAGAGAAGCAAGCTTCGGAAGAATCCCAGCTTTTACAGCTGCAAATGGAGAAAGCAGATTTGGTCCTCCGGTTCCAAGGGGTCCCAGAATTAAAAGAGAATCAAAAGCAACTCATAAGTGAAGCATTAGCCCCAGTTATGGATTTGAAAGCGGAATATCTTGTAAACAAAATGGATGTGGTCTACAGAGCCTATTCCGTGTACATCAAGAAGAATAATCTGCCTGGGGAGACAGTGGTCAGATTCTCGAAGAGGCAAGTGAGGGATTTAATCCTGAAAGCAACTACAGGAACACCCTTGAAAATCGAGGACATTATCAGGATTTTAAAAGACATCCCATTTGAAATAAGGCAAAAGAGGAAGAAATACAAAGACTTAATCCTTTTTCTACAAACAAATAGCATTGCTTACAGATGGCAAATTCCAGAAGTCGTCAGTTTTAAACTACACGATAAAAAAGAAAAGATTGACTCTGTCTTTAAAGCACGTGAGTTCCTGAGAGTGCAGCTGGGAGAGAAAGCCGAGGACACCAAGGAAGAAGATGATAGCAAATCCAGTGGCGAATTGGGGTCTTCCTATGAGGACTCCATTTCCGATAAGGGTGCGGCTGCACCCAAACGTGCATATCAATTGAGGATTAGAAAAGAGAAAACAAAGTGAAGGCTGAAGGACTTTGAATTGTGCATTAAAATTCTGTTTTTATTATGGATGATGCTCTTGGGTTTCTCTTTAAACAGTTAAATTAATGAATAAAAAGATAAATAATTTAGCATAATTGACTATGTTCAAAGTAATGCTAGCAATTTAAGATTAATACTTATATAAGCTATTGTTATGAACTCCTATTCTTGGGGTTTTAGTTATTAGTGGTTTTCTTTCCTTTCTCCCTAGATGTAGTTCCCCCTTCCTAGTTTTTCGTTGTAGTTTGTAGTTTATTAAAAAATGCAATAAAAAATCCCCTCCGGGGGGCCAAAAAAAAAAAAGATGCTTACATCCTAAAGTACGCCCAACCCCTCTGAATCAAAGCCTCACCTATGTGATGGATCACTCTTGGCAAAGTTTCTCTGATTGTATATATTTTGTTTGTTTATTTAAATAATTTCTATCCTACCTTTACCTTGCTTCCAAATGCCATGCCTGAATTGTATTCTGAAAGGAAAACCATTCTCATATTAGAGTGGCTTCTTACATTTTACATGTGGGTGAGTTCACCACATGTCATCATCCCCCCCCCCCCCATAGTGTACCCTATCACATGGACGGTGGACCCATCTCTGTTTAAGTTATACCCAAGACGTGCAAAGAGTCCTTTGGCTTCAGTCACCAGCTTACAGGTTATCTGAGGCTCTGTTGTAATTGCAGGGACCTCTCCCATTCATTGAATTCAGATGACAAGTTGAGGCATTTTCAGAAATGTACTTTATTGTCCCTTAGCTGTATTTACTGTCTGGGACAAGCTAGAATAACATATCAAGTGTAGTGATTAAACTAAGAAATATTGTGCCTGAATAAATACAGGTGCAGATCTGTTAAATACGAAGGTGCAACCTTTATTCTACCATGTGTTTTAATGTTTGAAACTCATTCTCTAAAGTACCATAAACCACAGCAGCAGATCCTTAACTATTCGCACCTTCTTTGGCTGCTGATGTGTTAAGGATTTATTTGCCTGTTGAAACGTATAAAATATATTTTTTGGTATTAGAAGACAAACTAATATATCCCACAAGAACAAAGTAAGTTCTCTTTTGCACACTGGAGTGTGCAAAACATTGTGAAGGAATAGTAGGTATAGCTAAATTAATGTTCAGACCCCTTTATTGATGCGGGGCTGTTCTGCTCAAACAATGAGCTACGTGTTGTTTGAGACAATAGCATAAGATCCAGCAGTCTGCTGGAGAATTTTGACTTTTTTCTTTAGAAGTATGTCTGACATTGGTCCCTTAATCGAAATTATCTTTATAGTTTTCAGCATTGCCTCTGGTCATGTGATAGCAGAATGTACATGTCTTGGATTAGATTTTTTGTTATGGATATGGTCTTCCATGCAAGAGGAAAATATTAAGACAACCTGCTGTTTTCTCACTTGGCTCAAAGGGGAGGGAGCCAAACTGTGCAATTCTATTGTCGTACTTAAGATCACTCAGAAAGGTACTCAGATGAGGCAAAATGGCTCACTGGCTGTTGGTTTATTACAAAGACAAAAGAGCCAATGGAAGAGTGTGCATTGTAAGCAGCCGCTGGTGTGATATGGGTTATGGAAGAAATGGATTGATGATTTACCTCACACTGGGCTCTAAGGAACAGCTTGTAGCTCCACTATCAACAGTCCGTGGATCCTCCAGCAGGGGAGACGTGTATGTTCTCCTTTGAGAACTATAGTTTTAGTCCAAACTGGTGATTGAAAAGTTTCTGCAAATCTGGGGATAGTCCATGCTAAATTTAATAAACTTTAAGCTCAATGGTAGAAAAAACATTAATGATAATATTTATTCAGAATAGTAGTCCCTACCCCCTTTTTAAAGGTTCCTTTTCTGCCCTGCTTGTCAACCTGCACCCTAAAAAAATCTCTTGGGCTTTATAAAAAATGTGATTAATCTTTCCTTTCTGTTCTCCCTAACAGTGCTTTCGAGCGCTTTGCTGCAAAGGACCACCGCCACCGCGACCAGAGTATGACTTGGTTTGCATAGGTCTCACTGGATCAGGCAAGACTAGTCTGCTATCACAGCTCTGCAGTGAAAACAGAGAGAACATTGTGTCAACAACAGGTAAGCTCAGGTCTTTTTCAAAATTTAACTTCTTCCAGAGCCAAATGGAAAGGCATGTTTTGAAATATGCTTACGATTGAGTGGACAGTGTAATTTTTAATCAGTACTAAGCAAAGAACATGGAACTTGTTGACTGAGTGTTACATATCTAGCGATTTCAGTCTCCAGCTCCTTGTGTGTGGAGGGGGATGATTTCTAGATAAATTGGATGTTCAGCTGAAGAGACCAAATCTAAGCAGTAGAAACCATTGAAGTCCTTTGAGAGAGATCTTGTGGTGTGGTAGATGTATGCTGAATCTTAAGAATATCACTATTGAAGAACTTCATCCAGTGAAGACAGAAGATGACCTCCACTTTATAGAACAATCTTTAAGAAGTGTAACTTTCTTCTCAGTGACCTATACACATGCATAATCTGACCTGATACATCTTCAAGCAATGAAGGTTCAGTAGCATGTTACATACAAATTTAATTTTTAAAGATAACTATCTTAGATGATGTCCACACAGTAGAGTTTGTTTATATAAAATCAGATCCAGTGAGTTGAGGGAACATTAGACCTAGGTAGACTTTTCATTTTACCTTTAAGCACTTCTCATACATGTATCTTGTGTGAAATTTCTTGCTGTTCCACTGCTGTTGACAGCTTCACGGCCATACCCCATCTTGGTATGTCCAGGGGAAGATAACGTAACTTAAGGTCTGATATAGCAATTGGAAATAATTTTGGAAATAAAGGAGTTTTGTTAAAAGGGATAAAATACAAGGAATGAAGAAATAAGTAGGTAAGATAGTTGAAATATTCAGGACAAGTGTTTCTGAAAGGTTTGCCTTGGAAGCACTGTGACTTGGCCAGCCCATCTGGCTTAGTGCTGGTAGTGCACAGCATTTTCGCTCCTCTCATCCCATAGGTTGGCAGTGAAATTGTTCTGACAATGAGGATGTGGACACATGGGCCCTAGTGTGGCTTTTGCTACAGCTGCAGCCCACTAATCTCCACAAAATGCTGCTCCTGAGGGATAGTGCAGCCCAGAAGAGTGATATGAGGGGGAATCTACAGCGGGAAGGGAAATTGGTGGGTATCGCCAGTTTTGCTTGGATCTGGCCTGATGTGGAGCAGTGTTATACCTGAAGCTTCAACAGCTTTGGGAGAGATACTTGCCTAGAGGACTACAATATCCAAACCTACCCCAGCCATTGCTTGGAGTAGTTGTTTCCTTTCCTGGATTGCCGGCCTGCCCTCCTCTCCTTTTCCTTCTGACTCCAATTTTTAGGGTTAAGGGTGAAGTGATCATGCAGTTTAAATCCTGAATGTCTGCCCAGAATATTTGGAATTTTGAAATACTGATATAAGTAATGATAAATCATTCTTGGGCTTGGGAGGTTCTGAATTCTGGATTTAGATATTAGTTTGCACAGTTTCTCTTTGCTGAAAGATTAATTTGATTTCATAGTGTGATACGAATTGAAAGAATGCCAGAGATAAATAAAAATGGAACACAGGTGGATTTAAAAAGAATTTTTCATTGCTGCTAGCATAACTGTGATCTGAAGCAATGACACCCTTCTTGGATCTTTGTTTTAGGTGAATGTGAGCCAAAAAGTGTATATTTTGTGGTCCCCCCCCCAATAAAAAGTTTCTATTTTTGTTAAACTAAACGTGCAATATATATTTGTATAATTATATCAAACTATCTTGTATCCTTTATTCATTTTATGTAAGCAAATTAGAAATTGGAGAAAAGGAGACTGGAGGTCAGAGAAGGGATTAATGAGAACTGAAATTTCAAGCCTTGGTCTTGATCACTTAAGCCAGTGATCCCCCGATGTGGCTCCCATGGGCACCCTGGTGCATGCTGATGCATTTCCTAGTGCCCATTTGCTTCTTTCCCAAAGCAAAGACTCAGTTCTGGCTTCCCTTCACGTCACTGGAGCAGGAGAATCCAGAAACAACTGACTACACAGTAGGAGTACACTTGGCTTGCAAGTTCCCAGCATTTTGAGATTGGCCCCAGTCTCCCATGGCAGCCATTTTCTTCTTGGCCCTAGCCCTCCACGGATACCATTTTGTGGCAGTGCCCATTCTCAGTTCTCCAAATTCGAAACGTTCCCACAGACCTTGGATTAAGCAATAGGATAAGGAGGAATATTAACAGATGTGCTGCTTTGTATGGTATTTATACTGAACAAGGTACTAACTCTTTTTTTAAAAAAAATTGTTTTCAGGTTTTAGCATAAAAGCAGTGCCATTCCAGAACGCCATCTTGAATGTAAAAGAGCTTGGAGGTATAACACTATTAAATTCTTGTATATCTGATTAGTAGTTTTACATTCATTTGTCTTTATTAATAATACTAATATTTAATAGTGCACCAGCTAGTTGAAATAGTTAGACATAGTTCCTGCTTGCAGGTTTGCAGTGTAAGGCTGTCTTCACACATGTTGTTACATAAAGCTCTCCTGCTTTTGGGGTGCATATCATAGGCAGTTTTAAATGTGTCTGTGTTGAGTTTCTGAATCTATGCAGGAAGGCTGATTTACAGTCAGATTTAAACCATCATTTGTTTTACAGTGAATGTATGATTTCAATATGCAGCAATGCATAAGGCAAATCCTAAAGTACTAGCTGAGTTGTGGGGCCAGTATGGGGTGGGAGGGGAGTAGGGGAAAGAAGCACGAGAGAAAAAGGAAATTAAGGAGTGTGTTTTTGGAAGCAGGTGCAATGGGTGAGTAGAAAATGACTTGAATTTCAGAAGTAAGGTGATACAGCACCAAACAAATATAGGAAAGATGTGGCTTTCCAGAAAGACTAGTTCCAGTAGAACAAAGAAAAGTGACAGAAACGCAAAAACTAACCAAGCTCTCATTGCTGTGTCTCAAGCAAATAAGTGATATTGTAGGAATGAGACGAAGGCATGGCAGGTTTTAGATATCTCCTTGCCTCATTGATTTTAATTGTATTTAAGGTTGGACTGTATGCAGTTTAGTAAAATGGTATACTTTTAGTACATTTTTCTTAATTGGGAAGCTTAAGATAAGAATAATTGGCAATTGAAAATAAGCAGAAGCGTTTACCAGAGTGTAACAGACTGCAAGACTTATGAGTGTGCGGCAGTGCCCTGTCTGGCGTAATAAAGATGGGCAGGGGAGAGGAAAGTTCAGTAAGCTAAGCCGCTTCTGTTTTCGACACTATAGTATGGATACTCTATTACATGTTTACCTAAAACAGTAAGTAGGTGATCTCCTCCCTGCACCTATTCTGCAGAAGCAGAGGTAGGGAAAACAAGGCTCCTTACATCAGCCTGTGGTCCCTCCTCTTTGAATGCCACCAAAAGCCAGCCACCTTGAGAAGGAGGGAAAAGGCTACATCTGCTGAGTCCAGGCCAGACGAGTCATCAGTTAACTCTGACTGAATTATATATATATATATTCACTGGCAAAGGGAGCTTTGATTCTCTAAAGTTCATACCCCGAAAATCTTGTTGGTCTTTAAGATGCTGCTGGACAAATCTAGCTGTTTCACCGCACACCAGCATGGCTACCCTCTGAAACGATATGCATTCAGTGTAAACCACCTCGGAAACAACACTGAAAAGTGGGTCATGAATAAATACAGCAAGACCAGCTAGGTTCGAGTCCACTAACATCTTAAGAGGCCAACAAGTTTCTCAGGGTATGAGCTTTCAAAAGTCAATGCTGCCTCCATCAGATACAAGTTGGAGTGGCGACATTTGAGTCCTTATATTCCAGTCAGAAGCTGGGAGTGGTGTTGCAGAGGAGGGACTCAGGATGCAGAGGGGGACTATGTGTATTGCATCTGACAAAAGGAGCATCGACTATCGAAAGCTCATAGCCCAAAAATCTTGTTGGTCTCTTAAGTTTCTGCTGGACTCGGATCTAGCTGTTCTGCTGCAGACCGACACAGCCACCCTCTGAAAACTATCTTCACCCTATTTACTACAAGGGGTGGGAGATCATGGCACTGGGTACTGAACCAGCCTAGCCCTTAAATGTGAAATATTCTCTATACCACCACCACCACCCCTTTATAGGTAAACTGAGATTCTGTGGTTTAATCTGGGCAGCACTGGTGCGTGATAATCTGTAACCTGCATCTCATTTAAGACTTTGTTGCTCTTTACTAAGACTCTTCCTGGGTTTCTATGCCGAATGCCTCTCATTTATTTATTTGCCTCATTTATTGTCTGCTTTTCTCACTGTGGCTCAAGGCAGATCACATGATTTTTAAAATGTGCAATGAAAAGTATAACAAGCAGTCATTAAAAGTGGATTACAGAGAATTAGAGAATGCAAAAAAAAAAAAAATGCCAGTATAACAACGGCAAACGATGCAATAGAATGAGAATACAAAATAGGAGAACAGTGCAATAAAACAGTAGAATGTAATATGGCTGGCTTACAACATTGTAAAACAATGTGAAAATAGTGTGATGTGTATATCAAACAATGCAATTGAAATGGCCTACATTTTTCCGACATTAAAATCACAATCTTGTCTCCTTTATAAAAAGGGCTTCCTATTTCCTTGAGAAATGAATGGCATTTTAAAAATTTCTTTTGCCACATAACATAGAAAGCAAGAATCTGTTTCTGTCGCCATATGCAGGCCACGTTATTAAAGTCACTTGCCCTCCAACAATGAAGGACAGACTTGAGCTAATCTGTGTGAATACTTTGTCATGTCAGCTGGAGTAAATGAAGCGCCTGAATGAAGTGCTGCTCTAATAAGGAAAGGCCCACAAGTGTGGTGAGATTATGAACTACTGGTAATGGTTGCTAAGAAGTATTAGAAGACAGCAGCCTCCCCTGAATGGCATCAGTTTGTCTGACTTGCTCACAGAAGACACAAGAGAAACTACTTTGAGGCCCCTGATTGTGTGTGCATGCTTGAAGTGATGACCAGTAAGTAAATAAAAGAATGCCGTTGGACACACTTTTCAAGAAATGGCATCTTTGAAAGCTGCTGAGAAGGGACAAAGTAGACACACTGGGAGCCAAAGAAGAGGAAGTCTGGGAGCTGGAGTGCCATGCTGGAGTTACAGGGCATTTAAAAGAATCAGGAATTGTCCCAGCGGCTGAGAACAACAGAAGGCTCAAAAGTCTCCTAATTTTGGTATGTGGCATCACCAGAACAGGCTATCGACTTGGAAGCATGTGTTGAAGACATAGTGTGCAAATTCTTGATGATTATTAAGGCACAAATATCCATCCTCCATGTCCAACTTTGGCAGAAAAGGATTCAGTCTATGACTTGGTATATTCACCCCTGAGAAATAGTTTTTAGAGTACCCAGTGGTGAAACACTGCTAATTTTAAGTAGTACCTCATGAAGTTGTGCATTAAATGTCCTCAAGTGAAGAAGGATGCAGTTCTAGGGTGCTGCAATATTTATTTTGTAAGTCCTTATACTCTTACCTTAATGTACTTAAGCCATTCTGCATGTCATTTAGGAATCCGTAATCATTCCTGAAGCTACGCAAAGAAGCCTTTACCAGAGGACCTCTTCCTACCTGAAAAATACAGAACCAGTTAGTTTGTCTCCAGAACTTGCCTGCTCCTGAGCTGAAAGCATCCGATAAAGATGATTCAACTGATACGTGAAGTGTTGGAAATTACTTGGTAATTTCCCCAAGGACTGAGGTGCTAATGAGTGGAAATCCTGAAAGGGAAAGTCCAAGTAGAAAAGGAGGGGCTGCTGGAGTCTTGTATATCAGTATGATTCATGTTGGAAAGTTAGGACAAATAATGCTAGAAGGCAAAACATGCTTGTTGTGTTAGAAACCAAAACAACTTGAGTTCTTTAGCTGCTGAAAAAGACAAATTATATAAACTTTTACTCCTAATTATACTTTATAGTGCTCCATTAGCATACATAAGCCCTCTTCTTTTTTGATGCTATACTTAAGTTACCTACATGTAGGTGTAGTGTGTGATACTTGAGTGCCACGTTGGCTGAGGTTCAATGCTGTTCACCTGTTAGCAATCTTTCATATGCATCAGGAACTCCAAAGCAACCAACCAGCTCATCAAAAAGGCATTTTTAGTGAGAAATTCTTTAACATAACTGTTACTTGTATTATCTTGGTCCACTGTTTAATGAATAATTTAAATTCATTAAAACATTAATTAAATAAATAAACAAAAAATAAACGAACAAAACATTAAATAAATGAGCAAAAATAAATAAATAAAAAACATTAATAAATAATTTAAATTCATTAAAACATTAAAATGTTCTGGATGGGAAAAGAATGCTAGGAAGTATGTGACTTTTCTCATGTTCTAAATTGACAAAAAAGTCACAAAAAGTTATGTGAATAGGGCACTTTTTTCTTGGATGTTAAAAACTTTCCATAAAAAAATTGTTAGACAAGGCAAGAGAAAGCAAATGTCATAGAATATTTCCACTTTAGATTAGCTGACATATCTGTAATCCAGGAATGGGTGTTGAGTGGGTAACGAGAAAGGACTCTGCAAAAGAAGCGGCCTGGTGAGGATAAAGGGTGAGATGCATAAGCGAAGATCTCTGGCAGAAATGAAAACGATCAAAGGGATTGGGTATGTGAGTGTGGGCATGCAGCAAGTTAAAGGTGGTATTAAAGGCATTATAAACAGTTTGTGCTTGTGAGATAGAATGGAAAGCCTGGGAGTTTTGGACAGAGTTAGTCTGGGAGTTTTGGACAGAGATGAGGGAAACAAAGAAAGCCAGCAAGTAGAAGCAGTTATGGTGAGAGACTCCTTCAAGAATTTTAGTACTAGGATAGAGAAGGCTGAGCAATTTGGGGGGTACAAAATATGGGCTGGCAAAATACCAATAAAGGCAATTGGAATAGAAACTATCATACGCAAATGTAGGTTTACTTTACGTCTGTATCCTAATACGATTTTTGATCTGTTTTAATATTCCCTTTTTAAAAAAACTTTAAGGGGCTGACAACATCAGGAAATACTGGAGTCGTTACTACCAGGGATCCCAAGGAGTAATATTTGTATTAGACAGTGCCTCTTCAGAAGATGATCTAGAAACAGCTAGAAATGAACTGCACTCTGCACTTCAGCACCCACAGTTATGCACGTTGCCATTTTTAATATTGGCCAATCATCAAGACAAACCAGCAGCTCGTTCAGTACAGGAGGTAATACAGCAACACCTTACGTCTTCCTTTTTTATTGTTGGTGTGTATATCTATATATTGTGTTCTTTTCTCTCTGCACCTTGCTTAAAGGGAGAGGGTCCTTAAATTGCCTTTAAGAAAAGTTTCCTGAGAGTACCTGTGATTTCTTTTAAATTTAGATTTCTTTTTAACTAATGTTCTTAGTGCATTTTTTGTTTATTTGTATGCAGAACATGAGATGTCTCTAGACTTCTCTCTGAAATTTGTGTTTACTCCAGGGATGGGCACGAACCAAGAAATGAACCGCAATTCAAGCACAAACTAGGCCAATTCATGGTTTGTTTTGAACCAGTTTGTTTGGTTGCATTGTTCCCGAATCAAAAAATGAACCACCTTTTTTCTGTGGAGGTTCGTTTGGTTCATTAGAGCGGTTTATTTTCCAGACAGCCTGACACGATTCAATCAAATCCTAGGCAACGCTGGGGGTAAACTTGTGGAGAGCCCTAGAAACACCCATGGAGCTCCTGTTCTGCTCTGTGGGAGTAGATTGTATATATACTACATCTGAACTCAGTTGCTTCCACTTTGCAGCAGGAAGAGAGAAGAGTTAGTTGTCATGTGAGAGTGAGTTAGGAAGAATTGCTTGTTGCGTGGTTGATTTAAGAGGAGGCTAGAGCTGAGCTATCCTGGGGGCACCCTCTTTGAGGGGGGCTATAACTCAGACATCCCAAGTCCAATCTTCACTTAACTTGGAGGAGAAGAGCCTGCTAAAGACTCCCTGTGAGATTGGCATCTCTAACTTGCAAGGTGGCTGTTCTGCCACTTCCTGAACTCGCAAACTGATTGAACCACGAACTGGTTCGAGAAATGGGGAAAGTTCATGAAAGTTCATGGTTCGTCTAATCAAATGAACCACCGTTCAACCACCATTTTCCCACTTCATGCCCATCCCTAGTTTACTTCTTTTACCATTGGGTGAATGGTTCCTGCGTTTAACTTAAAGAAAATAAAAATAGAACTTGTGTAACTTTTCTTCTCTGCTGGAATGAAACATAGTCTAATGAATGAGTTATTTGGTTCTTTGGATCTTTGTGAAGGGGAAGGGATTATTATATGCTTTTTAAATACAATTACAAACTTCCATTATGCATCGCTTTGACTAGTAATGTGATACTTTGTCAGTGTTCAGTTGGTAGTTCTGGACACTATAGCATTCCTTATTACATTGCTATGAACTTTGGGTTTACAAATAATAGTCGCATGATTTGGCACTCTGCTGAGTCTCGTCTGCTTCTGTTCATGCTTTGATTGCAGGCTTTCCTGTCAATATGAGTTACATGTAACTCTATGAAATGTGCATAATTACCTTTGAATACACTGAATGTTTATGTGCTCTCAGTGGAGGTTTAATTTGCATTCACTTTTTGGGTTATATCCTGTATTTACATGAGGCTTCCAGTAGGTTACCCATCCAAGGGACTGATCATGTCTATATTTTAAGCAATGTGACTATGTCAGCCCTTCCCAGACCACTCACTGAGCCCATTTGATATAGTCTTTTACAGCAATATTCAAGACAGTGCCCCTAATAATTCCAGAGCGATAGCCCACTGTAGCAAAAATGACTTATCACAATGTTTGCTTTTGTGGTCTAGAACCTTCTTCAGGTATATGAAATTATTTGGATCAGGATTGCAGTGTGACAAGGGGGAAACTCCACAGTTGTGTGCTAATCAGAGCCCTTGCCACTACCTTTGTGCGGCTGTTCATCCTAGAAATGGAATGGGAATCACCCTGTCTTTGCCAATATTTTTCCTTACCAGGGTAGTTTCTGTTTGTGGAGCTGTGCAGAGGAAGGATTCTCCTCTCTCCCGCTCTTTGATGAAACTAGGGTTGCCAGGTGCATGCCTGGCACCCCCCAAAATGCATTGGGAGTGGTAAAACTATGTTGTTGTTGTTCTTATTCAGTTGCACAGTCAAGTGTGACTCTTCGCGACCCCATGGGCCACATCACGCCAGGCCCTCCTGTCTTCCACCGTCCTGCGCCGTCCTGCAGAGTTTGCTTAATTTCATGTTTGTTGCATCTATGACACTGTCTAACCATCTCATCCTTTGCCATCCCCTTCTTCTTTTACCTTCAGTCTTTCCCAGCATCAGGGTCTTCTCCAGTGAGTGCTCCCTTCTCATTTGGTGGCCAAAGTATTTGAGCTTCAGCTTCAGTATCTGGCCTTCCAGGGAATAGTCAGGGTTGATTTCTTTTAGGATTGACTGATTTGATCTCCTTGCAGTCCAAGGGGCTCTCAAGAGTCTTCTCCAGCACCATAATTCGAAAGCATCTATTCTTCGGCGCTCGGCCTAAAACCATAGAGACCAGCAAATTCTAGAGTAGCCAGGTTTTAGCCAGAAGTGATGTTGACATATCTCCCTCTCATCACCCCCCCCACACACACACTACTTCTTTAAGCAGCAGTGGAGGCTGGGAGGTGGTGGTTGGAGATGGCTGGTTGCAGAGCATAAGCTGACTACCCTAGACAAGGCCCCATACAGCAGTTGTTAATACTGAGAAGATTTAGTCACTGGCTGGATCCAGTGCAGCATTTCCACATCTGCAATGCTAACTGCAAAGCAGAAGTTGTTAATAGGTTCTGGAAAAACTTACATATTCTATTCTGGGGTATATTCGTGCTCTAAGCCAAATTCCAATGTATCTTGGGGCAGAAAAATGTCCCACAAAGTGGTTTTTGGTGTCAGAACCCATTCAGTTTCACAATACCCAAACATCCAGAGCTCTGGAAGCACACTTTTGCATGAGGCAGAAAAACATCTATGTTAACCTAAATAATTGTTAGTCTTGTTTGTATCGAGAATGTTTTTCTATGCCCAAGAACATTTACCTTATCCAGGTTATCAAAAGGGACTATGTTCACCAGAGCACTTGAAAAGGCTTCCCTGGTTCAGTGTTATTATTCTTCACGAGGTGTTTTTGAGACTTGGTTTTGTATCTGGAAGATCTGGATTCAAGCTTCATCTTGTTTATTGCAAAACCTGCCATCAGCTGCTCTGAGTGTACAGGGAATACGAGGATAGAAATAGGCATAGTGGGTAAACTGCTATTTATCAAGCATATTTGCTGATCTTTCATATGAGAGTAATTTTGATCCACTCCAGAGATTATTTGATCCACTCCAGGGTAAACGTGAAGATTGCAGAGCATTTTTCAAATTGGAGTATTGTATGAATGAGTAGTAGTCGCAAAATCATTTTGTCTACCACTGTGCAGAAGCCAAAGAAATTCTGCAACAGCTGGTAGTGATATTCACTTGCGGGAGGTGCACTGTAAGGTTTCCAAATTTGAAGCTTTTTTAGCAAATATTTTTCTTTATATGTTGCATTTTCAAAAATAACATTGTACAAATTATTTATTCAAGCCATTAAGAAGAAAACCACATGTAACTTAATTCACAAACCAAATAATTGGATCCAAAATACTGCGATAGCATTGTTTGCTTATGTGGAATGTCATATGCTTGCATCTCTCATGCTTTTCTGAGCCATACTGATTCACAAGTGCGTTAAGACTGAGAGTTTCTAGCTGCCGTATTTCTCAATTACATAACATAGGTCACAGCCCGATGAAGCCCTTGTCTGGATCTATTGAACTCAGTTGAACATACATAAGTGTGCAGAGGATTGTGCTGTTAGTATTTTTCTTTCTTTCTAAAAAAAACTTTACATTGCTATCGGTTTCACTTTTCTTCCTTGACGAAAAAGCTGACACTTTTAAACAAAGTCTGTTGCTTAGCCGCATGTTCTGTGCAGTTGTTTACTCGTAAGAAAACCCATCCATTTAACTATGCCGATTTGGACATTCAGAAGAAGTAGGGATTTAAGAAGTGTGACTTGCAGTTCTGTATCTGTGTTTCTGATGTACTACCCAGAGAAGGAGGTTGTTTATCCAGCGTGTTCAAAGTCTCTGGAACACAATGATGTCTCTGCAGTGAGGCTGAGTCTTTGCTTCAGACATTAGAATTATGCTTCTGAAATATCAGCCCCCCCCTCCCCACACCCCTTTCTTAGAACCTCCGTTAGTCCCAGTGTAGGCTTCTCTTATGCCGATGTTGCTACTCTGTTGTTAGAACCCAGATGGGACCAGCCTAAAGCCACTCTAATAATCACAATATCATGCTGTTTGTCTGGGTAATGGTGTAGTCTCTCTTCAGCACATCCAGTTCCAGCTCTTGATGATATTGAATAAGGTTTATTTATTTTTTTAATAGGTTGAGAAACCTCAGTGCTCCTAAGGGTGGCTGAGAGGAGCAGCAGCAGCAGTCTCTTGGATCAAACCAGTTTGGTTTTGGTTTATTAAACAGAAGGGGGGCAGAATCTTTCCAGCATTAGTGCCAAGGCTTCACTATTTTCTTGGCATCCAAATAGATCAGTTTATGGGGCTGTATGATGAGCAAAATGTAGGCTCTTTCCCAGTTAATTAAGCCTTCCATTTTCTGCTAATTACTATAATGCAGTCTTTGTTTTGAATGGCGTCCAGGAACTTTTGTCTGAATGGTTCTATAATGCTGTCTAGGAAGCTCTTATAGATACCCATTCAAAATGTGCTCCATTGAAAACCCATCTGGGCCTTGTGCTTTCCCCCCTTTTAATTGCCTGTTCAGACTTTTTCCTTGATGGTTCACAATTCGTGTGTGTGGAAGACTCCCCTCCTTCCCAGACAGCCACGTAGCAAAGGACATGGATGAGGATCCTATTTAAAGAATCTGTATCTTCCTTCTCGTTGGAATGAAAGCTTAACCTAGGACAGCTTTCCTAGTAAATTTCCTCCTTTTTTATATTGCTTACCTAGCCAAGCCAATTGTTAACTCTGTGGGTCAGCTGACTGGGTCATGTGAGGCCCCAGTAGGTCAATGAACCACTTTTTGTATCACCTGAGTAATCTAAGTCCACTGTCCTTGTGATCGCACCACAGTAAACAAATATTTAATGAAGATATTTGTATGGTAATCTCT